TCTGAATTTATTTATTTATTTTTGTTTTTTAATCAGTTTTGTCTTTTACTATTTTTTTAGCAAAAAAACAAAATAAAAAACACTTCCCAAACACTACCTTAGGAAGATGTTTTTTTAATTTTTTTGGTTAAAATAGTATTAAAAGAAAAAATAAGTTAAAATGGTTAATAAGATAAAATATTACATCAAATTCATAATTATTTTATTTTTTCTTTCACAAACATCACATTCAACTACAAAAAAAATTAACATATCTTTCCAAATACAAAAATTTTAACCTTTTAAAATAATTAAAAACTAAAATAACTTGCCTTCAACGGAGTTCAAATTCTTTCCTGCCATTCTCTCCAACCCTTCCTCCGAGGGACGGTTCAGATTGGCCATGTCCCACCACAAACAATTTGCGGCCCAGATTAACAAAAAAAAAAAAAAATTGTGCTACATTGCTTGCTCTCTCTCTCTCTTTCTTCTCCTATCTTCTCTCTCTCTCTGTTCCCAACGGTCGACAACAACAACCAATCTATGCTGCCGACGACCAATCACTCTTCTTTTTCCCTCCCTCCCTCCCTTGTCTCTTCCCAACGGTGCCGATCTAAAATATGCAAATTTACCACCAAAGTTTCAGGTATCAATGTAGGCAGTTGTAGTAATCGTCTGTTGCCGACATTGGTGATGTTATTGATTCTCTGAAGGCCACCTAGCAGAGATTTTAAAGCAATTTGATAATTCCTACCCATTGAAAAATACAAAAACTCCTTTCCACAAGGCTCCAAGGACAGGTTCCCCTTCATTTCCACAAATTAAGTTGTCATTCATCAAAACAAAAATTCATCAAAGTAGAATAAGAAAGCCCAGTCCAAGTTTCTTTTCTATCTATATATATGGAGGCCCAATTACTTTCCATACTACAAATTACTTCCACAAACACACCAGCAAAGATCAACCAGGTAACGTAAATACTTAAATGCCTTGCACGCTACATGTTGGGAACATTGTAAGATATGCTCTCCTTGAAAGAAAATGCAAAAACTACATATAATGAAATGATAGCAGAACTGCATTAGCTATGGTTATGAAGTTCACAGACTAGATAGATGTACAGTATAACCAAATTAAGCACAGAATCATTACCTGTCGATAGAGTGGTGACTGGAACTTAAAATCCACCAAAAAATAAAGGCTTCAAGTTCCTGGATCAAGTCCCGGCCTAAATTCCCAAAAGTTTATCAAATGATCAAAAAGACTACTTTTCGATACAGTTGTCTGGAAGAAAAACAGAACAAATGATAGGTACATCAATAACAGTATCAGCAAACTTAAACTCATGATTTATTTTATTATAAGACTTAAACTTTGAGTTTTTTTTTTTTTTTTTTTTTAATTTTTTATTTTTTTTTTTTTTGGAAACTTTTTTTTTTTTTTTTTTTTTTTCCTTTTTTTTTTTTTTTTTACCTAAAGTGGAATTTCGGGGCATTCGAGCCCCGAAATTTAGGGCCCTCAATCACTTCCGTTTTTTTAAAATTTTTTTGAAATCTGAACCACAAATTGTTTGGGTGGTGACTAGTCCAATCTGACCCGTCTCCCAGAGAAAGGATCGGAGAGAATGACAGGAAAAGATCCGAACTCCCTTCGACGTCCTCATTCATCCACACATTCATCCACAGCTAACATAGCTCATGTCATTTATTTAGGATTATTTGGGGTGTCTTAAATAAGTGTACTTTTTGTTTTTTTAGAAAAAAAAATTGAGACTGAAAATATAGATGTTTAGGTTAATTTTTTGACTTTTTATGAAAAAATATGTAATAAAAAATTGTAAAAATAAATTTGTAAAGAAAAATTCGAATTGAGAGCTGTGCAGCCGTAATTGTTGACTTTTAGTGAATAACGTTAACTTTTTAACTTTTTAAATAATTTTTGACTTTTTAACTTTTTTATAAGTTTCCAGACTTAGCTTTATTTCTATGTAGTACTTTTTTCCTATGTAGTACCTTTTTAACTTTAAGCTTTGTACTTTTTAGTCGGTTTGGTAAGATTTATTTTTAATTTATTTTAATTTTTAATTTAATTTAAGTAATTTTGATGTGTTTGGTTCAGCTTAACAATATAGTTTATCATTTTTTATAAATCAAAAATCAATTTATTCTTTAAATGGGGAAGAAAAAATTTAATTTATAAGTCAAAAATTAACTTATGTTCACAATTATAAGTTATAATCTATTAGACTATAAATTATAATTACTTTTTCACAATCTTACCAAACGAAATCTTTAACTTTTTACCTGAAGAGTGGTTAGTTAGCAAAGGCTGGGACTAGTCCTAGATTCAAAAAAAAATTGGGTCAATTTTGGAAAAAGCTTCTGACCCTAGTAGGGTATTGAGGGTCGCGCGTGATTGGTCTAAAAAAAAATTTTATTTTTTTTTTAATGTTTTCCGCCAATCCCATGCTGCCACGTCATTAGAGATTGGAAGCACGGCTCGTCAACTTTTTAGGCGCAGTAGAGTAGATTAAGAGCATCTCCAGCAGCCTATGCATTTCACCAAAAATTGTACAATAGCCAGCCAATAATCATAAATTCCTTCTCCAGCAGCCTAGCTACTGTGAAGCCAAACCAACATTTTGCTACAGTACCTCGCTAGGAAAGACGAGGTACTGTGCACTAGCTCTGAATTTTTTTTATCCTTTTTTAATTCAAACTTTTGTTTTTAAGAATATTTTAATAGAAGATATTTAAATTATAATAATATTTTAACAAAAGATAGTTAAAGTAGATAGCCTGTTGGAGTGTATATTAAAAAACCAACTAGCTAAAATAGTAAAGTAAAATTTTGAATAGCTATTTTGACTATCAGGAGACCCTCTAAGAGGGTTGTTTTAAGTAATTTTATTGTATTTGATGTGGGTTTAATATTTTTTTATTATGCGAGTCCAGAATTAAGCAAAATTTATTTTAGGAAGTCAGAACAAGTTCTCAAGTTATAATCTCCTAACTTAAAACGGATAATAGGGTACCCTGATAATATCTACAAGGACGTTGCCTTAAACCAGCGGACGAATGAGAGGATTTTCCCTATAACGAAAATAAATAAATTAATAAAAGAAAAAAAACACTTTAAGCTTGGTCATTTCGAGTTTGTTCAATCAAAACACCGTTTACTTTGAGTAATGGTAGGAATCACAAATATTTTATCAAATATTTCACATAGGTGTAAGATCTATGTGAAATATTTCACACTCTACATGAGAATCACAGAGTGTGAGTCTCACAGTCATGTAAGATATTTGGTAGAATATTTAATAGTAAAACATTTGAGATTGCTAACATTTTTCTTTTACTTTATTAATCAAATGGAAAAATGCTATAGAAATTTTACATATTTTTGTCATACATTTTGTTACATATTTTGTGATAAATCTTATATTTTTGGTTCTGAAATGATGTATTTTTGTTAAAATGTTACATATTTTGTATTTCAAAAATATCTCGTTAAAAATATATACTGTAATTTTATTTCTTAACCACAACTTATTGTGCATATATGCATCACACAATAAAAAAAACTTTCCTAACCACAACTTATTGTGCATATATGCATCACACAATAAAAAAAACTTTCCTAATCAAATTTGTAGATCTTATTAGATTTGAGGCCCATTTTCGCAACTTTGGTTTTTTTTTTTTTTTTTTTTTTTTTTTTTCAATTTTTTTTTTTTTATTTCTTTTTTTCAACTTTTTTTTGGGGGGGGGTCACATCACTTCTCTATATTTTTACATATTTTTTCAAAAAAAATCAAAAAATTAACTTTTTAACCTAGTTCCCAAAATAACCTGAATTTAAATGTACCTTAGAAAGAACAATCAAAGACATTATAATCTACATTAAAGATTTTTTTATTGTATATTGAGTATTTGATTTGATTTTTTTTTTTTTGATAGGTAAAAAATTATTTACAAATATAAAAAAATTCTTCAAACTTAATAATCAATTATATCAGAAAATCTAACAACATATAAAGAATTACATCAAAGTGAAAAATCAATCAGGTAGAAAGTAAATTCCAAAACATGTTTTTGGAAAAAAAAATCGAAAAACTTATTTAGTTGAATTTTTTTAAAAAAAAATTCCAAAGTAACTTTTCTCTTTACTACACATCAATCAATCATTTTTTCTTTCTCCTTTATCATTTCCAATCATTTTTTCTCTTACACACATCTATTCAACTACACAAACATATCAAATCATTCCAAATTCTAAAACTCCGAAATTATTTTCAAAATATACAATCAAACAAATTTTTAAATTTTCTAAACTCTCTTAGAAAATAATTTTTGAAATAATATCTTAAAACACAAACCAAATATGTATCTTTTTTTGATCAGCCCAAATACGTATCTTTAATAGTGAATAAATGATTAATCTTTATTATGGGGCAATCATTTACTTTTAATTAAAAAGGTTTTACTTTTTTTAAGTTATCATCTCAACTTAAGAGTGTATATTTGGATTTGGTAGACTTATTTTGAAACCGATTTTAATGATCCGAATCGTTCACTAACCCAATTGATTAAGGAAAATATGAGATTATGAATGTGTATTTTAAATATTTCTTATTTAATTATGATAAGGTCAATCATACCAAGATCCTTTAAGTTATTAGCAAATATAGTTCACCTCTTTTATTTATGAATTCGAAGATTATGATCTTTTCAATTATAAAAATTGTACAAATACCTCCTGAAGCAGGTAAAAGTTATGTGTTTTTTATAGGTATTTTTCTAAGGTGTATTTATTATAATTAAAATATACAAAATATACATGTTTATGGATTATGATTAAAATGGCTTTCAAGCCTTAGCCAAACCTATCGTTTTACAAGAATATCAATGATTTCATTTTATAAATTACTGCACATTTTAACTAAAGAGTATCAGATGCATTAACCAAATTAGCAATGATTCAAACCTAAAAAATGTTTTAATCTTGTGATGATATTACAGGTAAAATATCGAATGGTAGCACTGGAGATGTAGCTGATGACTTTTATCATCGTTACAAGGTATGCATTTGATTCTCTCTAAAAAAAGGTATGCATTTGATAAATATATAAATATATTTCAAAATGACAATTGTGGTATACAGATCCTCTATTTCATTCTTTCTTAATCCAAATCTCATTTCTACCACACGATCAAAACTTTCTAACCTAATCGTATTGAGACAGAATAACACGAGAAAAAATAAATAAATAAATAAAGAAGAAGAAGAAGAAGAAAATTTGAACTTGATTCAATTCGGTGCAAATTTTGAAAAATAACTATAAATAAGTGTAAACTTTGTAAATATTAATAATTAAAATCATAAATTTTTGATGAATTTTTAATAAATTTTTGAAACTACCACGGAATGGTAATGTCCCCCAAAAGAATAAAAAATAAAAGATCGTGAATCTTCCAGTAAGGAATGATATTTCTCAAATTATTGATACATAAACAAAATTTTGGTACAGAATTTTCTATAGAATTATATGACTTTTTGTGGTCCCTTCACTACTGTTCTCATAATTTTAAAAATATCATTGCCGTATCATTCTTTTTTCTTTTTTTTTTTGTATAAAAATTATGTTTCTAAGTATAATTAGTGTAACTATAACAAGTGTTTGGATTTACAATAATAATTGAGAGACACATGTATGTATGTATGTAACAGGAAGATGTGAAGGTGCTGAAGTTCATAGGGCTAGATGGTTTCAGAATGTCCATCTCATGGGCCCGAGTATTACCTCGTAAGTTCATTTTTATTTTCAATTCAATGCATCCCTACCCTTGATTTAATTATTTATAAATAATAATAAAAATATTGATAATGCCAACAATCATCATAGGATTATTGATCAGATTTTGGTGATGGATAAAAATAAACATTATTAAAGAGTCCAAAAGGTATTACAATGGTGTTCCCGATGAATAAGAACTGTATAATATATTAAGGGCGGGTTTGACTTCTGATTAATCAATTATTAAAAGAAAAAATAATATACAAATTCACTTTTTAAATTTATTTTCTAGAGTTAATGAAGTGTAAGTGATATGATTGGTTAATAATTGAAAAGATATGAGAGAAAGTATCTTAATAAATTGTCATATCATTAAACTTAAAAATTAAATCTAATTTTTAGACTTGTATAATAATTTCCTTATAAAAAAATATGTTTAGATAACATATTTGTAATTAATAATAGATCCCATTATCTTTCATATATGACTAAATATATTTTTTTAAATAATATTATATATAAATAGATTTTTAATCAGATCTACAATATAAATAAATATACATGACAACCCTTGGCCGATTGTGTTGCCTAATTGTGTGATCTACCTATATCTATTGACTGGACACTATACCAACAACAAAATATTTGGTCATATTATATACTGGGGAAGAGTAAGTTTATAATATATGCTTTATATCAAAAGCATAACTTTGTTTTTTAATGCAAGAAGGGATACTTGCACTCTTTTATATTATTGTTAAATATGGTTAATAATACTTAAATGAGTTGACAACAAAACAAGGTTAGCTGTTACATACGTGTGTTAATGCATGAAGCATACTACCCCTCTTTTACGTTAGTGTTAAATAGGGTCAATAATACTTTAAAAAAAAAAAAATATTAGAATAATGCTATATATATTAATTAATGTATTAACTAATATATTAGCAATGTAGTATAATTTTAGAAGTTTTGGATATTTATAATTTGTATAATAAGTGGGATCAATAATGATGACATAACACTAATTGATACACTAATATGTATATTAATTAGTGCATGTAGCACCACCAATACTCAAAATCATAAACCAGCTAGGACCACCATGATTCTCTCAAGTGTTTAATTCAAAGGGGTAGGTCGTAGGTTTAACTCTTTCTTGGGAGAATTGAATTAGGTGGCAAGTACTTGGTCTTTGCAAGAGTTAGAAGGGTAATTTCTATAGATACTAATCTAACAACTAACAACTGACTTTCATCATATTTAGTGGCGTAGATCATTTTAATACATTTTTCACATAAAATATGTTGAAATATGAAATTTTGGATAATTTGTTTACTAAGAAATTGGTAACAGAGAAAAGATAAGGTTTTATTTTTATTTTATTTTTTTATAAAAAAAGTTAACATTATGTTAGTTCTATTTGAAGCCATGGTATTAACTATGTGATATTTCAGTGGGAGAAAAAGGTTAAATAAATAAAAGTATGCTAGCAGCATCTATGGACATTTAAAAACTATATAAAATTAATAAAAAAAATGTATAAAAACATATAAATGTATTTGGAATAACTCAAAAGAACATTTAAATTTTAATTATTTTGACATTATCTCTACCTTAATCACAATTAGCATAACTAATAAACAAATAAGAGCTGAGTTGTTGCCAGCTGGATTCCTCAGATAAAGCTGAATTAATAAGCTTTATTCACTCGATAGTACATGCCAAAAGACAACCAACAGGGCTATGTTTGGTTGTTGAGATTGAATAAAAAACATTCACTCGGTTTGATTTTAGTTTTCAGAATTTATTTTTTAGAAAATTTTATTTTTTTAATTTTCATATATATTTTTTATTTCCATTGGTTATTTTAATACTTTAAGCAATTTTTTTAATTTTTAGACGCACCTAACATAAATACACTTAAAAATATAATATTTGTAAAAAAAAAAATCTTTAAAAAATTCACTAAATACCAAAAATAAAATAAAAAGAACGAAAATTCAATACATTTTTTGGAGATTGACCAATAAGTCTCATATTTTGAACTTGTAATCCATGTAGTCCCATATTTTTTCTTGTGATCCTTTTAGTTTTTTTGGATGTGTAATGACTCATTTTTTCGTCACATTGAAGTGTCACATTTAGAAAAAGTACACTAAGGGGTTTTTTAGTATCACATCATACTTGTCACGTTAGAATGTTACATTTAGAAAAAAATACACTAAAGAGTTTAAGCCTCCGTTTGGGAAGTGGGTTGGCTTTTTGGCTTTTTTGGCTATTTTAGCCTGGGCTAAAAAGCTTGGTTTGGGAAGGGCTTTTTGGCTTTTTGACTTTTTTGATTTTTTTTGTAATCCAACAGTTACACCAAACAGATTAACAACTTCTGATTAAAGTCATAATCTATAATCTTTTAAGGTATAATCTATAAGCTGTTTTAACAGCTACACCAAACGGGGCCAGTACATGCCAAAAGACAACCAACAGGGCTATGTTTGGTTGTTGAGATTGAATAAAAAACATTCACTCGGTTTGATTTTAGTTTTTAGAATTTATTTTCTAGAAAATTTTATTTTTTTAATTTTCATATATATTTTTTATTTCCACTGGTTATTTTAATACTTTAAGTACTTTTTTTAATTTTTAGACACAACTAATATAAATACACTTAAAAAGTATAATATTTGTAAAAAAAAAATCTTTAAAAAATTCACTAAATACCAAAAATAAAATAAAAAGAACGAAAATTCAATACATTTTTTGGAGATTGACCAATAAGTCTCATATTTTGAACTTGTAATCCATATAGTCCCATATTTTTTCTTGTGATCCTTTTAGTTTTTTTGAATGTGTAATCACTCATTTTTCCGCCACATTGAAGTGCCACATTTACAAAAAGTACACTAAGGGATTTTTTAGTATCACATCATACCTGTCACGTTAGAGTGTTACATTTTAAAAAAAATACACTAAAGAGTTTAATTGTTTTAGAGTGTCACATTATACCCGTCACATTGGAGTGTCATATGTCACATCTGGAAAAAATATACTAAAGATTTTTTTTTGAGTGTCATATCATACCCGTCACGTTGTCATATTTAAAAAAAATACACTAAATTTTTTTATTTTTTTTTAAAATGTCACATCACACCTGTCATGTTGTCACGTTTGGAAAACAACAATACACCAAGGAGTTTTATATTTTTGAAGTAAAAGTCTTGAAGTGTCAAATTATACCGCTACGTTGTTATATTTGAGATAAGTAAATTAAGGAATTTTTAGTTTTTTTGAAGTATCACAATAATACCTGCCACATTGAAATATCACATCATACGTGTCACATTAATAAAATTGTATAGTTGTCCACCAAAACTACCAAAACAAAAAATAAATAAATAAAGGACTAAACAAAAAGAAACTCTCTACTCGTTTGGAAATATACTTTTTTAGTAACTTTTTAAATTTTGGCTAAAATATGATTTAAAAAAAACTACTATATTTGGGATGACTTTTTGATTTTTTATGAAAAAATATGCAAAAAGTAAAAAAAAAAATGAATCTTTGACTTTTCGGTATAAGTTGTTGACTTTTGAATTTCTTTAGTGAGTTTTTGACTTTTAGGCTAAACAAGTCACTTGCCAAAGGAGGCCTAATACGACTTAATAGATCAATAGAAAAAATTTTGGATTAATTGAAATACTTGTTTGTGAGAAGAGATTTATTGGTATTTATCTTTTTGTATTTTTGTATATTTATTAATTTTTTAAAATATTTTTTAATAAATATTTTACTCTTTAGATACATCTAATTAAGTTAAATTTAAAAAGCAAAAAAATTATTTAAATTTTAAAAATATTTACTAAAAACTTAATTTTTAAAAAATTAAATTTAAAAAACTAAAACCAAACTGAGTGAGTGAGTATTTTCCGTAATCCTTCCTAAAGCTGCATTTGAGTATTTTCCCTAATCCTTCCTAAAGCTGCATTAGGTTTGCCAAATTGGAGGAATTAGTTTGTCCTGCCAAACTATTAACCCCCAATTTCATGGGATATACAACTCGTTTGGGATAAATAAACCCCTTGAGTTATTTTCTCTCATTCATTTAATTTAGCAATCAAAATAATTTATCATATCTCATTACATGTACAAACTCATCCAATATTTCATGGTATAAAGGTTTATTTTGACAATTAAAAAAAAGTCAACTTATTAATTTATTTGAATCGCATCACCTCTTTATTTTATATATATATATATATATATATATTTTAAGAAAAAAAATTGAATTAGTAAAAAACAAGTAAGTGAAGAGAAATTTATGAATAAATACCCCTAAAAAAAATATTTTAGTTCCACTATATTACTTAGGATTGTTAATATACACTCTTAGAACATATGTTAAGATGCTTGAAAAAATTATAAATCACCTTGAATGGGAGTGCATTAAAAAATGGAAAATACCTTTCAAGCTCTTTTAGGCTGTGTTTGGTTAGAAGATTTGATGAGAAATGGAAAGGGAAAAGAGAAATAGAAAGAAAATGAGAAAGAATTAATATAAGATTGAAATTATAAGTTTTGTTTGGTTGAGTTGGGAAATAGAGAAAGAAAATAGCCTAAATGAATTCAAAAGACAAAAAATGAGATTGCATTTTTCTCTCATTTTCTTTTCCCTATATTTTTCATTATAACTAAATAAAAAATAAAATTCTATTTCATTTTCTTTTTCCATTTATCTCATTAAATTTTTCAATCAATATGTGCTCTTAGATCACATAATAATAAAACCCTGTTACTTATGGGGAAATAACAGCGCAGTTGTGCAGTAAAAAGTATGCAAAATCATTAAAAAATATAATATTTTAATTATCAAAATATATATATAAAAAATATATTACACTGTGCAATTATTTCTCCATTATTTATTCGTTCATCTCCAAATCCCAATGCGGTGAAACAAAAAATAAAAATGATAGATCCTTTAATATTTGATAGTTTTAAAAAAACATTAA